AGTGTTGTTGGTTTTAGGTCCCTGAGTACTTGCTTGAGTGAAGTTGCACGATCGTTGCGCGACTTGAAGGGGACTATAGCGTCTACAGATGAGCCGGGTGAGTCGTCCTATACTGTTGCGTTGGAGAAAATATTGGGTTCAGAGCTGCATCGAATGACACGCCACTTTGTCGATATCGTCGTTCCCGTGGTGGCTGACATGTATTCAAAGATTTACGGTGATGTTGCACAGAGTTATTTACCGCTTATCAGTACTGAAGTAAGCAGACCAGAATTTTCAGTGGTATTCATTTCGCAATGTTTATAGGTGTTGTCGGGAATTGAGAAAGCTCGCATCGAACCTCCTGAAGGAGTCAATGATTGTGGTAAGGAGCCGAAGAACGATGCGGTGGACGATCCGCCACCACAGAGTGGTGTTGTCACTGATACTCCGTGATGGTATATAGCAGTCTATGGCGAAGGTCTTCCCTTGCAGATGTATGGCAGGGAAGACCGTCTCGGATTGCAGTATTTGAGCGTGATTTTAACGATGTGTGGTATGACATTTTTGTGATATTTGTTTCCATCCGCTGCTAGTTATGGCCTGGTTTTGACGGAACCATTCTTCGGAAGGGCTTGAGTGGTTATTATCCAGATTTTCACTATCCTATTGTCGCGATTTACTAACGCGATGCCAGAGTTAGAGCGAGATAGGTCGCAAGGGATAGTAGAAAGAGCGTAAGAAACCTTAAGATCTCATTCCCGTGCAGTGTGTCACGTGACGTGACTTGCTGCGGTCACGTACAGTCGCGTGCGCCCTGTGGGTTCTCGTGACGCGCGGAACTGTGATCAGCACACTATAATCCTGTGAAAATGTCTCACGATAGTGAACTTCAACACACGGTACTTGTTGGGGTCATCACTGTTGCGGTGAGAATTCCTTCGCCCGTCTCAAGTGAGTATCGATGTGCATTCAGGTTATTGGTGCTTCTGCGCTGATAGCCCGGCAGTGGTGGGTGAACTCTCACATCGCTCTGAAGAAGAACCGATCGTTCAAAGCGAAACTGATTGACAAGAGTGAGCTTTCGAGATGTTAGATTACTAAACGTGTTAATTTGCAATGTTTCAGCTAACGTTAGTCATGATGTTCGCCGATTTACCTTCGCCTTGCCACACGAGAACGACATTCTTGGTCTCCCTATTGGTCATCATGTGAAGCTTACTGCGAGCATGCCCAACCCAAGGACTGGTAGGGATGTTTCCTTCTCTGTACGGCATGTTGTTCTTCCTGTGTAGGCCTGGGTCCTGTTGAGTCGGTCTCGCGGCCTTATACTCCCACGACTCTGGATGATCGTCATGGATCTTTCCAATTAGTAAGTGGATTAACCTATGATTTGTGTTGGGATGAGCTGGTTTTTCTGAGGTCATCAAAGTTTATGCAAGTGGTGAGGATGAGCGTCATCCCGACGGTGGTTGGATGTCGCAATATCTTGATAAGTTGGTCCCAGGAAAGGATTCTATCGATATCTCTGGTAGGTTCGATACGCAGTGCGCTGGTTGATGAGCACAGTTGTTGGTCAGGTCCTATTGGTCGCCTCACATACAAGGGCAATGGGGTATTCACTATAGTTCGCAGTGAATGTAAGAGCTGTAACGGTATCAAGAACATTGGCATGATTGCTGGGGGTAGGTCGTGGTGTGGTATTGGTTTTTGCAATGGGTCTGTTGGTTCTCGCTCTTAGGGACCGGCATCACGCCTCACTACCAGATCATTCAGCATATCCTCAAAACGAAGGATACTATGAACATGTCTTTGTTATGTGCTAATAGAACACCCGATGATGTTCTACTTGGCCCTGAGCTCTCTATCCTTGCCCGCCAACATCGTAATCAGCTCAAGGTAACGTCTTGTATTTTCTCAATACTCTTGATCATAATCTCATAGGTCTACCACACTGTGGAGAATGCTTCGAATAATCCCAGCTGGAATGGGTATGTCGGTCGCGTTACCAAGGACATGCTGAAGGACACCATGCCCAAGCCTGGTAAGTGGATTGCCTTAGGGCCGTGCGCGTTGGCATGCTCCTCCGTCAGGTCCGGATACACTGATCTTGTTATGTGGCCCTAAGCCTATGAACGAAGCGGCTAGAGACCTGCTCAAGGAGCTCGGCTATGATAAGATCTACTATTAAATTTTTCCGCAGAAAGTTGCCAGAGTACCCCCCCCCCCCCCCGATTTCTTTGACGCGGAAACTCGACTTGGGGGCGTAGAGTTTTTCATATCCACTCCGAGCGACCAATACTCGAGAGTTACCAATATGTCAATGATTTGTTATGGTTTCGCTTCCGACACTGATCGCGAGAAATGCCTTTATCACATACAATCGACGACTTGAGTTGGTCATTTTCTTGGGACTCCGGTGATGCTTACTGACTTTTTCGATTTTCTGGAGCAGTCTCGGGGCAGATGACTCATGTTTGTATGCTGGTTCGGCTCGTTGATGTAATCAACACACTTGACTGTTTGAAAAGGCACTCAGTAATACTCATGTCCAACTTAGCGGGGTCGGAACCTCATTCTATTAATATAACATGGAGAACGACTTAGTTGAGAGGAGACAGTGGGGACACAGGAAGGATCTATCTACGCTGTGTATCCGCTTCGTAGGGATCGTAGCTAGTTACCATCATAGTCGTTATGTGCAACAATCATTGAGGATTACATTTGATTCCAGAGTTTTGCGGGTTGTTGCCGAGAGTTCAAAAGACCATGAGCTCGTTTCCTGTCTGGTTGTGAAGTTGTTCCTATTGCAGTTTTTTTTGCATTCTTCAAATTCCGTAGTAATGACCGGTCTGGCACTGTCATTGTTGGCAAGCACCGTCATTGGTTCCCTCGCAAGTGTGAACATGAATGAAGTCATCTCCACTGGTGGCGGCTTCGGAAGTCTCGACAGCGACAAATCCGTACAGGAAGCTGTTGTTACTCTCGAGGACGGTGTATTCGATGTGAAGGAGATGCCTCGTGACACTCCATTCGCTGTTGCCTCCGGTCTCTATACGGACACTCTCTATGAGCTCGGTTGGGATCAGCTCCAATTGGACGCTGGTTCTGATTACTATTGCGAGAAGGATAGGATGTACGCCATGGGTATGTTGGAGTCTTATTTCACCCACGACCGTATCTACGATTTCTGGCAGAACTTCAACCATAATGATCTCGAGGGCAGCCCAGCTGGTGTGAAGCAGTGGTTCAAAGACCAGTGGGAATTTGTGAAGATTATGACTCAGACCAGCAACGATACTTTCTGGCAAAACATGGCTCTGATCGAGGCCCAAACTGAAGGGTATATTGATGGTTATCAGAAGTTCCACTCTGAAGGTAAAGAGATCGATCCTCTCGATATGTACATCCTCCAGTCATGGGGTGATCTTGGTGATGTACAGGAAGGCTTCCGTGCTGCTGCTAAGCAACCCGCTGAGGACCTCGCCACAGCTCCCGACGCCGATGCTGATTTCGAGGCTGGTCCTGGTACTCTGAGCCATGGTAGTTGCACTGCCATGATCCGTCTTATGGATAATGGCGAGATTGGCTTTGCTCATAACACTTGGCGTAGTTATGAAGGTTTCATTCGTGTGTTCAAGAGGAATACCTATCCTAATGGTGTGACGGTGACTATGAGTAGTACCCCTGGTCTTCTTCATAGTAAGGATGATTTCTACGTACAAGAGAACGGCAATCTGATCATCGCTGAGACTACCAACAGTATGTACAATCAGACGATCGCCGCTACTCTGGCTACCAACCCTGATGCTCGTCATGTCTGCCTTTCTTGGCAGCATGTTATGTCGTCTACGATCGCTTCAACCACTGCTCCTGAGTTCGTGGACAGCATGGAGCCCTACAATTCCGGTACCTACAACAACCAGTGGATGGTTGTTGATGTCGACCGTTTCCATGAGGGTGCCACTGACGAAGTTGCTATGATTATCGAAATGTCAATCGATTATGTTCATAAGGGTGATGTGTCCAGTGTGCTTCTCGATAGGGGTTACTGGAAGTCGTACAATATCCCTTATTTCCCCGATGTATATGAGCAGATGGCATATAACGATTCTGATAAGCAGAGCAGTTATCATCAGTGCGCTCGTAGTGAGATCAGTGATCGTGATGCTCCTCATCTGGCTAACTTGGGAGATGTTATGTACTTCTCGAGGTATAATGAGTACCTTACTGATCCTATTTCTGAGGGATGCGCTCGTCTCTCAATCGCCTCTCGTTATGATCTGAGCACCCAGGCGAAGTGTGGTGCCGGTGCTGGTCCCCAGGCTTTCGGTGCTATCGATGCTAAGGTTGTCGCTTCTAACGATCTCACGACCGTTCATGCTGTGTCTGGTCCTACCAGCGATCCTGAGAATGGCATCCCAATTTTCCAGTGGTCGACTTCTCCTGTTGATGATATGATCGAGCATGTTGGTATGCCTGATAGTTATGACTTCCCTTGGGTGAGGTTCAATGGTGAGAGTTGGTCTCTAGAGGCCCTCGACGATGCTGCTTGTGACCATCCCGATCATATTCGTATGAACCCTCCAGCTACAACTACTACAACAACAGCTACTCCAACCAGCACTCTTCGTGGTGGTAACTAACTGGTTACTCTATCATCATATAGTGCTTAGCTCTATTGAGCTTCTGTTCTGTCACGAACTAGTTGTGTCGTATACGACGCATAAAGTCTGTCTTTAACTCTGTTGAGTGCTCCTTTCGTCGGGCTTTTAGCTTTGTAGTTCGTTGACCGAATGCGTCGGGTCTTGCGTTGAGCAACACAGTGTGTCATACAAAATTAACATCCATTACGCCTATCCACTTGGATACCGATACTCAGTTCTCAGCAGTTGAGCGACTTCAAGGGCAAGCAACGGGTTCTTTCTGCCAGATTCAACATTCTACTGAGGGTACGTGTTCGGGTGTGCATCGTGATTATGCCCAGCGTCATCCATTGTCAAAATTGTGAGAAAACACTCGATGAACAGAATGAAACTAGAGGTGGGTCTTCTTCACGGGGAAGACATGTTCCTAGCTGAATGAGGCTAGTTCAATTGGCTTTCTCTACTCACCGCACTTGAGGTGCGACACCTCAATTTGTAGTCAACCCATAACTCTAATGCCCAATACTTCACAGTGTTACTTCCAATTCAAGATATAAAATGTAGACGACTGAAACAGGTGTTTGGGATCGTAACGGAACACAGCAATGTAAATAACAAACAAGCGACACTCAAGCCTTGAGACCCTTCATCTCCAAGAAGGCATCCTGGTTGGGTTCACGGCCGAGGAACTCCTTGAGCATCTCCGAGGCATCAACAGCGCCACCACGGGAGAGGATAGTCCTGATAGAAGTAGAACTGAAAGCTGCAACTTCGTGACACAAACTTACTTTCTATATTCCATACCGGTTTCAGGATTGAGGAGATTATTAGGCTTCTTGAACTTGCTCAAGAAGAGATCATCAGCGAAAACCTCTGCCCAGAGATAAGAGTAGTATCTGAGTTAACAACTGAATGAACTTCGGAGAGAGGAAGGGCTACTTTCCATCATAACCGCACATATGGCCGAAAGTAGCAGGGAAATGACTGCCTTCCTGTTGCTTGACGCCCATAGTCTGCAGAGATACGTCGTTGAAGGTTGTGGTGATGTCACTCGGCGGATTCACTAAGAAAAGAGATACGGACAGAGACCGCAATGAGCCGGGCCCACCTCCGTGAATGGTCTGGTCGAAGTTATCAAAAACCAATTGTCTCTGCGTGTTGATACCCTCATTAGCATCCCGAGACTTTATCAGCTTTTCGATGAGGTCATCAGGGAGAGGCTCGTTCGTTTTATAGTGGCACGACAGGCGTTTTAGAATCTGAATTGACGTAAAACTCGTCGTCGGACTCTTTCAGGGCGCGCGCTTTTTACATCCTTTTCCCAACACCAGTTCTCCAACATCTGCGAGGGGCATTCCACGAAGTCTTGCTCCACACTAGTGCCTGCAGTGAGCAAATCTCTTACGGTTGAGGTGAGTAAGAAGGTTACCAGCGAACTCAGCGAATTTGACGTTCTCAGCACAGATGTGGTGCATGCAGTGACCGAACTCGTGAAAGAAAGTGACCACCTTGAAGAACAGGAAAGATGCTTATCCCTGTAGTTGGGGTCGACTCTACCTCATTATGAGTAAGCAGGGACGGCTTGGTCGGAGTTGACTTGGTGAAATTACACACCAGGGAGCACACACCGTAGCTCCTCTTCCCGTTGTGCATGACGTTGGGCTGCAGAGGAAACAAGGCAGCATGTGAGAACCTGTCGAGCACAGTAGAGCCACCACGGCCTGAATATAGAGGACTCACTTGCCGTCTCTCGGGAACATATCCATATAACAGTAGCCAATAAAGTGACCATCAGCAGCGTCATTGACAGCCAGGCAAACTACGTCCTCGTGCCACACTGGCTGGTCCGTGACCTGACCGGGCACCTCACCGTACCGTCTTGGAATAGATTATCGTATTGCGTTTCTCTGTTGAATGTATGCTGTAGGAACGTACTCTATTAAATTTGAGGCCCAGAATACTCTCGTAGAGTTCCAACAAAGTCTTCAAAACATGTTCGAAGGGGAAATACTGTTGTATGAGGAGCTGATCTGAAATCAACGAGCAGAATGAAGGAGAGCACTTTCCAGTGTTGGGATGTATATTTGATTCCCCTAGGCGAGCTCAGGATCATCCATCACTGGAAATTTTCACACGACACCGTGTACAATAATTTCCCTGGAATTTTACTCTACCACAACTCACCCACAGAGTAGTTCTTTTCCTCGACAAGGTTCCGATAGTAGCTCAAGTCGTAACAATCAAGAGGTTCGTCCATGCTAGCACCCTGGAGGCCAGGACTGTCGATGAATGACGATTGGATGAGGGCTCACAGTGTCCTCCTTTCGGAGCTCCTTCAGCAGCTTCTGATCGCTCGTACCACGAGTTCTGATAGAAGGCGGAGCGATGCCGGGAAATTTGATCAACACTTGACCGTACTTGACCTTATCCTCAATACCATGTAGGAAATCCCTCACAGTGGGAGCGTTCTTGGCCATCTTCAACTCAGTGGCGAAGTCAGCATGTGAAGGGTAACCCAAAATCGCGGCCTACCAAACGGCATATGGGAACGCCTTTCCGCGTCTTCTCCGCTTACTCTCTCTTTTCTGAGTTTCACGAGCTCTTTGAGGATCTCGGTGTTATCATCAGCGCAGCGATTGTTGAACGCGCTGAGTGATAAAAAATGACCACAACTTCGCCGATTTCGAATATTTACAAGTCCATCTTCCTGCGGGTCTCGCGGACTTTGCACTTCTTGGCGATCGGAACATAGTGGGGGTATTTCAGAGTAACCTGATGGGAGTCGTCGAAAAATGGAGGTACCGGGGATCGAACCGGGGTACTTTGTATTTCCCTGACTCGGTTTTATCCAGCGTCTCGAGGAAGTCGTCGGGCATGCCATCCAACTCCTCCTTAGTAAATTCGAGTACCTATAGAGCACAGCTCTCAGCCTTCTCGCGTTGGAAAGATGATCAATAGGGAGGAGGACGGACCCAACTTCACCAGCGAACGCGGTGTATCGCACTACACTTTATTCTCACGGTATAAAGTCGATGCATTACCATCACTGCTACTATCCCCGAAAAGAGTACTCCTAGAAACTCCGAAGGGCATTGGTGCGGATTCTTACAGTATTTTCCTCGCCTAGGTTTTTATTGAACTTGATAGAAAGCTCGGACATCCTTTTCTTCATCTTCTCTATCTCCTCTCTGGCGGCCTCGTCAAGATGGAGACCATTACGTCTGCCTTCCTTAATGGAGCGATCGAGCAACCTTGTAAATGCACAAGTCGGAAGATTTCCGTACGACCGGCTGCCAACTCACCTCGCGCCTTCCGCATTCATCTCAGGGCGTTGCTCTTGCAGAGCCACTAGGACATCGAAAACATCCTTGCGCATGGACATCTCAACGAGATGCTCTGACAGTTTCTGCGGACCAATAATTAACATGTGGGGATGACCGTGGGAAGACTGACCTGATCGGCTTCAGAACTGGCCTCTCTGATGTCCTTGTCAGGGGAGACGTTCTGAAGGAACTCCATGGAGCTGTAGCGGGGATAAAAGTCGACCCAAAACTCATTGGGAACACCGAGCACGTTCTCAACGGTTATGTCGGACCCTGAAAAATGCAATTTGAAGTGAGAAAGAAGGATGGTATACCCTTCAAAGAGGCCAGACGATTGTGCATGTCCGTAGACTCTTTGATGAGCTCAGCGGTCCGAGTCTTGATGTCATCGACCGTGAAATTGAAGTTTAGTCTATTCAGGGTGGTACTAAGGTGGGAACGACAGTAATGACGATTCATTCACTATGGGAGGATGATGATTCGGCTGGGTAATCCGTAATGACCTCCTCGCGAGGTAGGTTAGAGCTACCATGAGCACACTAAGGCCTTCTAGAAGTTGGGTCCGGGAGAGGAGACTGGTGATAAACTCACCTCATGAAGCGCGTGAGAGGTCTGATAAGCGGTGGATTGGAGAGTGGACGGAGGGCCGCTATCAACATAAAAAACTACGAAGTACGATGGAAGGCCGAAAAAGTGTTGATATCGTCTATCTTCCAGAGGAAAATTGTTCCGATGGTGACTACTATTAATGTGATGACCAAGCTGGCGGAGCGATGAAAAAGGGGACAGTTTACTAGTGTGTACGCAGAGACTCTTAAGTTATTCCGCATATGAACTGCCGCACTTTACGAAGGTCTGAGGTGATCCCTATGAATTGAACTAAAACGAAACGATCTGTTACTTTACACTTCATGAATAAACTGAATCCATTTATGAGACTGAGAATTCGACAGGTTGAGGAGTTTGGACGAATAAGCGATGAACTCGGAAAGAGTTACTCGATTGTTCCTGCTGGGAGTCTAAAAGCTCACGTTATGCTTTGGATGGTCATCAGCAATGTTCAGCAAAGTCAATGTGGTAGAACAACACAAAAGGGTGCTGAGAACCTTTCAGGGAGCACCTCTCAGGACCACTTGTTCTTCCATAAGAGCACCTAGTGCACTTATGAAAGTGAAATCCACACCGGTAAGAGCCGAAAGACGTATCTACACTGTAGACCAACAGTAGAAAGAAGGTAGGAGGTGAGAATCTAAGCGAGAGGGTGAACCTTTCACCCTCTTCTTCGACCTTCAAGGTCATAGAAAAACCAATAATTAGAGGGCAACCCGTAACCCGAGCTGTTATCCGAGGCTGAACTGTTATTGACGAAAACCAAAAGCCCGAACTGGTATAGAAGGCTAAGCTGTTATGCAAGGCTGCGGGGGACGAGCGCGAAGCTTCCTTAGAAAAGAGACACTTTCTTTGCAAATATGGATTTTACCGCAGAAAACTTGGCACAGAGCACGAATGAAATCGATTACTATGGCGCGCGCGATTCTACGGTTTCGCGAGCAGTGCGTTCACGCAGTTCATCCATAAGCTTTCCCCCCCTCTACATCATGACGGAAGAGAGAAAGGTTTATGTGGGGAATCTTGAGGAAGGTATCGTCCTTGGGCTGGGGTCTGTTGGCTATCATTGTATCGTCATCGTTGTTGTCATTTTTTCGATTTTGTGTGGTTATTGGTAGGCACTCGCGAGGAGGAGCTAGAGAAGGTCTTTAAACGATATGGTGGCATCGAATCCGTCTGGGTCGCTAGGAACCCACCAGGATTTGCTTTCGTGGTAAGTTGAAAGTCAACTCTCTGTCTGTCCTTGTTGTTAAAACGTTAAACATATCGTTGTGATTCTGTTGTTTACAGGGCTGAGTGGCTCGAGGGTTAGTAGCCTCTTGTCGTCGTCCTGTCACAACCTACTGCTCCTGCTGCTACTATCCTCTGCATTACATCAAATCGTCTAACAATCGTCATACGAGAAATCACAGCCAAGCTTCATCGTCAATTCGTCATCATCATCGTCCCTGTTCACTGCTACTCTCTCATCCTCCTCACTGTAGACGTTTGAGGACGCTCGAGATGCCGACGATGCTTGCAGAGGAGAAGATGGCAAAGACTTTAATGGGCGCAGGTAGGTCTACTCCTGTGCTATTCTTTGAATAAACTTCTCTCAGCTTACGTGTTGAGATCGCCAGACGCAGGTCTGGTAAGGGTAAAGGCAAGGGTAAGGGCTTTAGCAATTGGTACCGTGGGGGTAAGGGAGATTATGGTGGCGGATATGGCGGTTATGATGGAGGATACGGCGGTCGTGATAGCGGTGGCTATGGTGGTCGTGATAGCGGTGGCTATGGCGGTCGTGATCGTAGCAGAAGTAGGTGGTTCGAGGAACGTTCATTCAAGTGATGATCTGTGTATGTTTAGGTGACAGTAGAGATCGCCGTAGACAGAGGACGAGGTCTCGCTCTGGATCCAGAGATAGACGTTGAGTACGATGATGATAGTTGTACCCTAGTAGTGGGTGCTTTTTATTATCATAATTTTCGTGTTTTGTTGTGAGATTGGACTTCGTCTATTATTGAGCTTAGTAGTGCTTTAAGAATCATCATGGCTTCTGAAGGTCGCAAGGTCTTCGTCGGCAATCTGGATCCTGGTGAGATAAGATAGGTCGATCAGCTCGCCTTGAAAATGTCGTTATTGTTGGCAGGTGTGAGGCCAGGGGATCTCGAACGTATCTTCGAACGTTATGGTCGAATCGAGCAGACTTGGGTAGCCAGAAATCCTCCAGGATTCGCTTTCATTGTAAGTTGGGAATTGCTGATGATGATTTCCGTCTGATATCTGTCGAGTGAATAAGTTCCCCCCGATGTTGGTTCGGTGGCTAGGACCGACGCAACTTCCATCACCGTCGAACTGTTCTGCAATCGTCCGACCGTCAGCGGCGGCGACTTCGGCTCTTCGCGTCATCATCCATTCCGTCTCTTTCTTCCGTCAACTCGTCGTCGGCAATGCCACCATGAAAATGTGAATGGCCTCCTCCGTTTGGAAGTTGTGGAGGTGCGGTTGTCACGGCGATCGCTGTGGACACCTCGGTCTTGTGGCCGAATACAGCGCCTTACTGTGTGGGTATTTGCAGACGTATTGCGATTCGCGAGATGCTAAGGACGCTGTTGACAGTGAAGATGGCCGAGACTTCCAAGGAAAGAGGTGAGTGTTGTTGCCTTGGCAATTTTGAATGTGTGGCAATATATTACGTAGGATGCGCGTTGAGATCTCCGTCTCCCGCAATGAACGTAATGGCAGAGGCCGCAGCATGTGGGAGCGAGGCCCATCTAGGAGATCTCGAAGTAAGGTTCCGGTCCATCTGAGATGAGATCATGCTGGTATGTTTAGGCCGTTCTCGTGAACGTCGCTCACGAAGCCGATCGGACAGTCGCCGTGAGAAGAGGCGATCTCGTTATGATAGATAGTGAGTTGTGGTGTTCTATGATTATCCCGTCATGTATTTGATGCTCCTCAGTCGTTCCAGATCACGTTCATCTAGCGGGTCGAGGTCGCGCTCGGGATCTGGCAGTCCGTCGAAATCCAAGTCCCGCCCTGCTGAGGACAAGGAGTAACTTAACGATATTGATATCATTACTATGACAGTGTTGTAGTTGTGTTGTCAGTGGCTGGTTGATGGAGTGCCGTCACGCGCCAGGAAATTATTGTTTCTCCTGTTGAATTTCTCTGGTCCCGTCGAGCGGCTTATTGTTGTTGACGGTAGCTTCCGTGCATAATATACGAATGGCATTCAAGCCAACGATGTCTAGCTGAATCTCTGTGTAAACGTAGAGGAGTGCTAAGACGCTTCCTAGCAGCCTTCGGCTGCGGCGGCTGGTGCGGTCCTGTTGGTCTCTCTCTCCATCAAGAACGCCGACGCTGATGACCGATCACGCCATCTGCTGAGAGCATACGATAGTGACTTACAAACGATCGTAAAGGAAGAGCTCTCTAATGGTGAGCTCGTCGGTTATGGTATACAGCTATTTCAACTGGCGAGCGTTGCCAAAAGCAACACCTTCGTTGAGCTAAGGTGAGTTTCCAGCTGCTTAGTTCGCATTGATGTGTGTTTGCTGCTGTAGGAGGCCTTCAAGGAAACTTGAGGAAGGTAACAGGATAGTGTCTGTTGTTGCATCCCGATTGAGAGTTACCAACATGATGATACTTTCAAGCTTAGTAGATCTGAGTATGGAAGGCAGACTCTGTGATGCTCCCGGTGATCCAGATGCGAGCATCGATGTTCCTGATAGTCTGCGAGCGCATCAAGTGGCCATTCTTGTAGCTTATGTCGAAGATCCTGTTGAATATCTCCGACGTTGCTTGTCGTGTTCACCATGCCCAACTAGCACTAGGTAGTAGACGATTCCCCTTCGTAACCTTCCACGTGATGTTTGTATGTACTTATCAAATAATCGGTGCTTCGGAAGATATGACATGATATGATTGAAGCACTGCTACTGACAGTGCATGACGCTTAGAACACCTGAACTGAGGAAAGGGAGACAGTTGTTGTGTTGGCTCAGTGGTGCTGGTGGTGGGGGACTGGATTGCACGAGTCAGTGGAGAAAAAATACTTCGGGAGACATGAATCGTTAGGATTGCCTTTCTTGTTGGCTGCTTCCCTTCACCACTCTACTGTTACTCGAAGATGGGCAGACGGAAAGGGTAGTACAGGGGCTAGTAGAGGACTTACTAGTTGAAATCGAAACTGAGTGGGTTGATCCCCGAAATCAATGTATCTATCGGCATAATGGATCGCGAAATTACGGTATTTCTTCGTGGAGTTTTAGTCTCTATTCAGAGCGCATCGCTGAACTGACCTCGTTGCTCGCTAATACTGTGCGCTCGTGTGAGCCTGAGGGGCATTTATCCTCACTCCCGTTTGTCAAATTCTAGTCCTCTGGCATAGCGGCCCCACTTAGCGAATTGATTTCTGAGTGGTCCAGTCTCCATGCCTAAACGGATTTCTGAATGCTTGAATCCGCGGCCATACCGATCCCACTTCTCATATAGATTTCTGAATGGTATAGTCCGCAAGCATAGCGGCCCCACTCCCCCGATAGATTTCTGATTGGTATAGTTTGCAGGCATAGCGGCCCCGCTCCCCCGATAGATTTCTGATTGGTATAGTTTGCAGGCATAGCGGCCCCGCTCCCCCGATAGATTTCTGATTGGTATAGTTTGCAGGCATAGCGGCCCCACTCCCCCGATAGATTTCTGATTGGTATAGTTTGCAGGCATAGCGGCTTCATTCTTTCCATAAATTTCTGAATGGTATAGTTCGCGGGCATAGCGGCCCATTTTCCCCATAGATTGCTGAATGCTATATTCCGCAGGCATAGCGGCCCCGTTCGTCCCATAAATTTCTGAATGGTATAGTCTCCGGGCATAGCGGCTCCATTCTTCCAATGGACTCCTGGTTAGCATAGTCCTATGGCATAATGGCCCCACTCTTTAAATGGATTACTCTTTTGATACTACTAATTCACTAATACATGAGTAAAGGTCCCATTCGAGAATGGCTCTGTTATGATGATATACGTGATGGTTCATGTACATTGAAGGTGTATATTGCTGTTGCTACTTCAGAAAGGCGATGAAAGCATCGAGGCCGAAGCCCAAGTTGGACACTACCTTTGATTGCCCCTTTTGCAACAGTGAGAAGTAGTAGTATCATCACCTGGAGGCTCTGGAAGCGGCGTTGGGGGAATGTTTTCGTTTCGAAGGGATTGGTGGAAGGTCGTGTGTGTATCTCATATGTGATACTTTTATTGATTCCCCGATTTTGAGTAGGTCGATAGAGGTACAGATGGATCGACATAAGAAGATAGGAACTCTACGGTGTAGAATGTGCCATGTTGACTATCAAATGCGGATACAATGTAAGGCGGCAAGAGGTTGCGCGATGCCATATGCTTTCTGGCGTGGTCGCGAGACGTTCTTTAGTGATGATAATCGGCGATTTGCTTCTTACCAGATCGGACCTATTAAATAGCATCGATTGAGATTCGAAAGTGATATGGCAAAGCGTTTATGCATCAGATTTGCACGAGCCGGTCGACGTATACGCCCATTGGGTGGATCAATGCGAGGAGCTCAATCAGCGTGAGAGGGAAGATAGACCGGCCAAGAGGCAAAGGCTGGACGAAGATTCCGTCTCGTAGGGAAGCCTCATAGTCGGTAGTGCTTTCATTGAATTTTTCAGTGAATCGGAGTCCGGCGAGAGCGATTATTAGCACTGACGAAATACCATTAACCATCTCCACTGTCGCTTTCCTTAACATATTGCTTTATTGTGTATGTTAGTACTGGGAGGAGAACGGGAGAGGTCGTGGTGCAGTAAAAGATATGTGTGAGAGGAAAAGGTCGCAATGGGCAGCGCCCATTGGGCACGCTGGTCGTCCTCCTGAATTCGTGGATACTGAGACTGTTAGGACGGATGGAGATGACTCCTGCGCCGATGTAGCCGATGCTAAACGCTTCTCTGTTGGTAGTATTCTCCGTCCTGAAGGATCGTACTCAGTATGTAGAGGAGGGTCTCCATCTCGGAGCAGCAGCGCGATGGCAGGGGAAAAGCAGGTTGGGGGGTATATTCTTGACCAGACGATCAGCAGAGGGAGGTACGCCCGGCCGTTGTGAGGACTCCTCACTGAGGAGAAAGACATTGCTTGGTAGTTTTGGCGAGGCCATACGATATCCCATCCGGACAAGTTTGTGGGAGAAGAAGTTACGTAATCTTTGTAGAAGATTGAGGCAGAAAGTGAGTGTAGAAGACGATTTGTGCCCAAATAATATTGCAGAGAATTGACCCCGGCCCGATTCGAACGGACAACCTTCTGATCTGGAGTCAGATGCGCTACCGTTGCGCCACAGGGCCTAGTGGTTGAGGATACTATATGATGATGCCTCTCACCATAAAGGATGCGAAAGTCGGGCTGAGCTCTGGTCCATGGCCTGTATACTGTACGTGATGCTCTATGGGTACCTTCCCTATCCATGCACGCAGAATACGATAGGACTATTATAGCGCATCGGAAGCGGCTCGCCTATCGAGTACGGAGCTGTGTGCTCGGCTTCATACCTCGACCCGCTTAGACGAGTGCTGATCAAGGATTCGAGAGGAGAACGGAGGCCGACCTAATTTACAAACACTTCTACATCGTAAGTCTAGGTCTACCATAGACAAATCTCCGACCTAATTTACAAACACTTCTACATCGTAAGTCTAGGTCTACCATAGACAAATCTAATCAGGCGCTTCGTAAACACACGGCAACGAATACGATACCTCAACATTCGGACCGAAAGGCTCACCTCTACAAAGACTGCTGGGGAATCGAAGCCAGTGCCAGCGGGAGTAAGTGGACTTCAGTTGCATTATGGCTCGTGGAATCTATGAAAATTGTGTCTTGATAGATCCGTCAGCCTAGTAAGGATCGAGGAGGGAGCACGATGCTGTGCGAGGAAGCTTCAGCACTGACTTTCTGACAGTCCACAGATCACTCATCACACATCACTCATCCACAGATCACTCACACTCAGTGTGGATGGCAAATATTGGAACTGATGCTGGGTCAGCTGTGGGTGTTACCCGTTAGAGCGGCCAATCAGCTCGAATAGGGAGAAGGATACGGGCGGAATCCGCACTGCGGACAGTAAGCTTCTAACTTATCGAGTCGAGTGTGTGGTAATTGATCAGCCGGTGGCTAGAGACTTTCGTTAGACTACAAAGCGGCTGTCGATGACGTATCAACCAGGTATCGTCGTAACCGATGGCGAAGAGTGGAATGCCAATTGTTTCCGAAAGCACCAATTTGGTACTACCAAATTTTTACTACGTGTCTCGTTACCGATCGATACAGAAATGAAAAAGCATGACATTAAATTGGTGAAAATGACGACCAAGAGGTTTGATATTACACAAGGACCAGTCATCAAGACGAAACGGAGTATGTTGTGGGCTGATATTAACTTGAATAATACAGTAACATCAGAAGAAGGAGGAGAGTCTAAGAGGACTAATCCTCAGTATTTGGGAGAAAGGTGAAGAAAAAAGGTTGGGGTAACCATATCTCACCATGACAATAGATTGACTGATTGCACGACAAAACGTAATCAATCCTTACGCTGAAACATTACGAGCAGCCGAGCGAGCCGAATCAGCAGTAGCGCGACCGGTGGCGCGAGCTGAATCTGCCGTAGCACGCCCAGCAATACGGGCCGAATCAGCGGTGCCACGAGCAGCCATGCGGGCTGAGGAAGCGGTCTCACGACCAGCAGCACGAGCCGTGTCCGCAGTACCACGTGCTGATGCTCTCACCGAATCGGCAACAGCACGAGCCGATGTACGTATGGAGTCACCAGTAGCACGAGCCGAAGTTCTGACTGCTTCACCGTTGTTGACAGCATTTCGGCGGGCAGTTTCGGCGTCTTTGGTGGCATTTGCACTCACTTGTGTACTGGTAGCGGTGGCAGCTTGAGCCAGGTCGTTAGCAGAACTTGTAACATCTGTGGCAAGCTTGGTGATATCAGAAGTCAGATCGGTAAGAAATCCCATAGTAAACAACGGTAGAACAACAGGGTAACTGATATAAGATTGATCCTCGTTTCAACCCGCAGTGGCTAGTTGTGACTCAACCCAGTTGCCACCTTGGAAAAATCATTGTGTACGGGCTTTGTGCCTGATGTCCCATTGCACGCTGATGACAGAAACATAGTCAAAATCTATAGTGCTTTCATATAACCGAATGTCACCGTAACATTGGCAATGTGACCGGCGATTGCTTCAAACGTGACAATGTTAAATTGTCACGGTCTCGCAACGTTCGAGTTGCGCTATCCTCTCTCCTGATAGGTCACATGGTACAATGTTTTGGTGGATCGTCCAACGATACCTCAGCTGATGGTGAGTTACTCACCTCACAAGCGTTGCCAACCTCATATGATATGATTACGTCAGACGAACGACCCACGGATAGCTTATGGTAAGTTGCATATGGGAAGGGGATCTCAGAGTAGTTAGCCATTGAGGCAAGCCGACAAACTCGATCAAGATGGCTGAGGTGTTCCAAGTTCAGTAAACACACATTATGAATCCGAAACCTATCACGAGGCAGAAGTTTGTCGAGCTCGCACTTAGTGAACCAGGCTTCTGTTACCAACCTTATACGATCGGTCTTCCTCTCGAGCCTAGAGGAATGCGTCGAGTGCTAATATATCTGTTCCCGTGCTCCTCTGCGCATGGACTATGTGACCACACAACCCAATTGGAATCTAGAAAAGTTTCTCAAGAGAATTTAATCTACCAATCTCGACAACTAAGGCAATAAGACGGGCGAGTGACACAACCCGAGGTAAAATTCCCTCGAGTATGGCTGCTAAAATAAGTATCCAAGAAGTGATTGAGACCACCCTCACTAAGATACGATGTAATGTAAGCATCGTAGGATAGGCTTCTACAATGTAAGCAGAACAGGAGAAGTCACTAACGAAAACTGGTGTATTTGGAAATGCCGTAACGGCACGGCAACCTTGTCCATCAAACATTGATCTTAAGGCGAACCTCTGAACATGGTGCGCACACTGTCGTGAATAGCTCGACCTCCAGCATGACCGGCATCGTGGATGGCTCGACCAGCAGCGTGACTAACTCCCTTGACGGACGACTCTCTGGGAGGGTCAGGATGAGAATGTGTTGCGTCACCAGCAGTTGCTGTGGATGTGGAATCAGGTTCGCTTGCCTGTATTTCCCTGGACGTAACAGAGTCATCCATCGCACTGTTGTTGTCAGTTGCTGAACCATCACTGTCGCGACCAGACTGCACTCCGCAATCAACGACATCAACATTCGACGTAGAGCCACTAGCAGTATTATCAACACCAAGCTGAGCACCCCTGGCACCATTACTTATACCAAGCTGAGCACCGCGAACAGCATTATCAACACCAAGCTGAGCACCTCTGGCACCATTACTTATACCAAGCTGAGCACCGCGAACAGCATTATCAACACCAAGCTGAGCACCTCTGGCACCATTACTTATACCAAGCTGAGCACCGCGAACAGCATTATCAACACCAAGCTGAGCACCTCTGGCACCATTACTTATACCAAGCTGAGCACCGCGAACAGCATTATCAACACCAAGCTGAGCACCTCTGGCACCATTACTTATACCAAGCTGAGCACCGCGAACAGCATTATCAACACCAAGCTGAGCACCTCTGGCACCATTACTTATACCAAGCTGAGCACCGCGAACAGCATTATCAACACCAAGCTGTGCACCGCGAACAGCATTATCAACACCAAGCTGAGCACCGCGAACAGCATTATCAACACCAAGCTGAGCACCACGAACAGCATTATCAACACCAAGCTGAGCACCACGAGCAGCACTATCCGCACCACGGTCCGCGCCATCAATACCAGACCTACGGAGAGCTGCATTAACCGCGATGCTCGCTCCTCTCAGAGCAGAATTGATCGCGACACCGGCACCAGCAAGAGGAATGCTAGGAGCCATATTAGCACCAGCACACGTAGGACCACGCGTGGGAGAAGGCGAGGCGGCCGCATCATCACGAGCCATAGTAGTATTAAGGTTCGTGGTATCGCTGGGGACAGACGCTGCGGTACTAGGGACTGTGGTATCGGTGCTACAATCCGAAGTAGCAAGTCCGCTGGACACATCGGCTTGCGCAGCAGCTTTCGGCTGACTCGGAGCCGTTGCGTTAGCTAAGTCGTTTAGAGAAGCACTGACGTCGGTCGCAAGGTTGTTGAGATCAGATACCAAAGTTTCGAGGAAACCCGCCATGAATCAAAGAATTAATAAAAAGAACTGCGAGACCTCATACAGTGAAACTCGATTATCGCTCGATCAACTATAATCAGCGAGACTAACACAAAAGACAATCATAGCTAGAACCACACGGAACTTGTCCATTTTCCACAGCTATAAAGATTCGGTTCAATGCCTAGTTATTTTGCCTGTTAGTTTAGCGCGTAAAAATAGCGAAGTTGAAGGAGATATCGCAGGTATGTCATTAACGCGATACCTACCCTATCAGCTCAAGGCTTTGGTAGAAAAGTGAGACCACTTGAGTGCCATACTAGCAACTGCTTCCGGTGCAGTGCACACAAGTGCAGTTGTGTGCTCGAAAAGTTTTTGCGTTACTGTTCTGAGTATCCAGCCCGTGCTCACGAATAGATCGTTCCTGCACGTGGGCCTGTTGGATGAATGACTTCAGAAAACACGTCTCACTGGCCTTTGTATGATGTTGGATTCCATCGGTGGAATTCATGAACCAACTAACCGTCAAATTCTGACCTCGTCGCACCTCCAATGGGGACAATGGATGTCAGCGATCAGCGGGGCAGGAAACACGACTCGAGTTCCGAACGAGCGAACCCTAACCATGCGCGCAGGATGATTGTGTGACCTTTGGACACATCAACTTTGGACATAAAGTTGTCGAAAGCCCTTTGGACAGCAAGGGATGTCAAAACGAATCTCATGACTAAGTTTTGGACAGTTTGTCCAAAAACTACCCTAGGGAGTAGTTTGGACATGAAGTTGTCGAATATTTTTTTTCATCAAGAAGTTGTCCAATTACGCCTGTAGCGACCTTTGGACAGCTTTCTGATCAATTGGACATGTTTGGACAATATTTAGTAATCTGGACTACAATGTGTCGGAATGTGGCACAGATTACCGGCTGCCCCTGAATCCAGCACTAAATACCTTACAATGGCACTATGTACCTGCAACTGCATTAAATGCACAGGATTTCTTGCAATTGCATGAGTAGTCAGACCGCAGAGGGAGCTCGACGGCCGATTAGTATGATCCACTGACATCATATATGCGT